TTTTAAAACTTCTGTAGCTTATGTTGATCTTAAACATTTATTTAAATGCATACAATTTGGTGCAGCTACTATGGAAAACAATGTGGAGGTTCCTCAAAAAATTAAAAATAAAACTACCATGTGATCCGGCAATTCCACTTCTGGGAATATACCTAAAGGAAACAAAAACCCTATGTTTAAGAGATATCTGCATTCCCCTGTTTATAGCAGCATTAATTACAGTAGCTAAGATATAGAAACAACCTGAGTGTCCACTGATGGATAAATGGATAAAGAAAGTGTGGTATATATGCATAGAATGGAATATTTTTTCTAGTTTTACTGAGATATAATTGACATACAGCACTGTATAAGTTTAAAGTATACAGCACAATGATTTGACTTTTTTTTTTAACAACATCTTTATTGGAGTATAATTGCTCTACAATGGTGTGTTAGTTTCTGCTTTATAAGAAAGTGAATCAGTTATACATGTCCCCATATCTCTTCCCTCTTGCATCTCCCTCCCTCCCACCCTCCCTATCCCACCCCTCTAGGTGGTCACAAAGCACCGAGCTGATCTCCCTGTGCTATGCGGCTGCTTCCCACTAGCTATCTATTTTATGTTTGGTAGTGTATACATGTCCATGCCACTCTCTCACTTTGTCCCAGCTTACCCTTCCCCCTGCCCATATCCTCAAGTCCATTCTCTAGTAGGTCTGCATGTTTATTCCCGTCTTGCCCCTAGGTTCTTCATGACCATTTTTTTTTTTTTTTAAGATTCCATATATATGTGTTAGCATACAGTATTTGTTTTTCTCTGACTTACTTCACTCTGTATGAGACTCTAGGTCCATCCACCTCACTACAAATACCTCAATTTCGTTTCTTTTTGTGGCTAATATTCCATTGTATATATGTGCACATCTTTATCCATTCATCTGTCGATGGACACTTAGGTTGCTTCCATGTCTTGGCTATTGTAAATAGAGCCGCAATGAACATTTTGGTACATGACTCTTTTTGAATTACGGTTTTCTCAGACTTTTTGACTTAGATATATTGTGAAATGATTACCACAAAAAGTTTAGTTAACACCCATAGATACAAAAAGAAAAATGTTTTTTACCTGTGATGAGAATTCTTGGGATCTACTCTCTAATATACAATGGAATAAATACTATTCACCCATAAAAAATAAGGAAATCTTGCCATTTGCAACAACATGGATGGACCTTGAGGGCATTATGCTAAGTGAAATAAGTCATACAGAGAAGGACAAATACCTTATGATCTCACTTATATGTGGAATCCAGAAAACAAAAACAAAAACAAAAACAAATTCATAGATACAGAGAACAGACTGGTGGTTGCCAGAGGCTGGGGTAGGGAGGTGAGTGAAATGGCTAAAAGTGGTCAAAAAAGTACAAACTTCCAGTCATAAAATAAATTAAGACCTGCAATGTAATGTACAGCATGGAGACAATAGTTAATGATACTGTATTGCATATTTGAAAATTGCTAAGAGAGTAAATATTAAAAGTTCTCATCACAAGAAAAAAATTATATATGGTGATGAATGTTACCTAGACTTAGTGTGGTGATCATTTTGCAATAAATACATGTATCATGTCTTATACCTGTGTGTGCGTGTGTGTGTCCAGTGCTGTGCTAGGTGGTGCAAATACAGAGATGAACAAAATAAGGCTCCTGCCCTCCAGAAGATCACAATCTATCTGATTGATAATGATGGCACTGTTGCTTATTAGCCAACGTTTACTGAGTATCTCCCGTGTGCCAGATACTGTGCTAAGCTCTTTATCTGTATTATTTAATCCTCAAAAAGTATCCTCATTTTATAGATCAGGACACTAAGTTCAAAGAGGGTGAAGGGCCTGACTGCACACTTCTGAGACAAAAGAGGCTCTTCTTCCCTTACAGAAATGGTCTTGTTCTGACCTCACCAGACCTTGTCTTTTCACTGAAAAACCAACCCTGAGAATTCAATGCTGAGAATTCAGAAAATTGGATAAATGTCAGAATGTGTTTCTGTAGGTAGATTTTTATTCTTGAGCACCAATTATGTTGAGTAATCATAAAAATTCCTACATTATTATCTTCAGGCCACCTATGTACTATGTGGTATATCAACAAAATTTAATACATGAAGAAACTGCTGCTCAGAGAGATTAAGTGACTGGCCCAAGCTCACATGGCCAGGAGGAAGCAGGGCTAGGATTCAAAGCCATGTTCATTGTCACATTACCTCAGCAGTGGGTCCACTGGCAGAAAACAAATCCCACGGGTAGGGAGGGTGGGGCTCGCACCCAGAACTAGACGACTCTGTAACAGCCATGAACAAAATATTAACGTCTACTTACTTTGGTGTCTAGGAAATTGTACTAGCTGAAAGTCATATTATCAATCAAAAACACATACACTGAGAATCTAATTACACACAGCACTATAGAAAAGAATTATAAAGACCTTGCCCCTGTCATTTAGGAATAAGAAAATGATAAAACATAGGATTTTTAACAAAAGATACAAGGCGGGATCTTATTATTTGGTCCAATTCATTTGTTAAAATAGTTTTCGGAATTATCCACAATCTGCTAAAACAAAACATTCCATGAGTTATGGAAACCACCAATAAGCAAAGCCTTTTCCTCAAAAAGAGGAGTACAAAAATAAGACCAAAATAAGAATCACATGTGATATTTTTAGCCTACTTGGTGCTGGTGCATATTCGAAACACCCACGTTCTGCAAAGCCATGTCACACTGGGAAGAGAGATGAAGACATGAAAGTGTCTCATCTCATTTCACTGACACACAAATGCCTCTCTCACACACATGTACTATCTATCTTTCACATGCACTTAGGTGCTTTTGTGAGTAATACAAAATCATTTGAAAGTATTAATAAGTCAGTCTACGATACTTTTGATCATTCCTCTGTTTTCTCAAAGAGCAAATACTAAATCCATGACCACTGTCTGGGAGTTGGGACCCTCCACTAACCCCTTTCAAGCTGCAACTTCTGAGAGCCTCAATGCAAACAGCAGTTTGCCAGGGGTCCCAGTTTGCCTTTTGGATTCCTTGTGGTCCAGGAGGGTCCCAAAGGATCCTAGAAGAAAACAGGGGTTGGGTGGGGAGTGGTGGTAATCTAAGGGCTCCTGTTTTGGTTCCAATGATCCCAGAGTTACAGGCCAAAAAAAAAAAACAAGAGACTCCAAAGTGATCAAAGCAACATCTTATTTTCAACTTTATTTCCAACTTAAAACTTCATTATAAAACTTGTCAAATAAACATATGTGTCAAAAACAAAATTAAAAACAAACTGTAGCTGATGATATCCAGAAACTGCAGCACTGGGCTGGAAGCAGCTCTTTTCTCATTTTACCAAGGAAAGAATTAAAGGTCCCTCTTCCTCCCCTAAAGCTTCACTGGTGACTCTAGTATAGGGTAGGCTGCGACGCCATTTTTTTGATGCCAGGAGAGAAGCATTAAAAAACTGCTTGCATACATCAGTCCTAATAAAACACTGAAAATTTCACCAAAACGATGTTTAAAGACTAGAGGATGCGGAATGTTGTTCTTCATGATCACATTAACGTAAGTTCAGTTATATACACTTCGAACTGCAGCGTAGAACAAACACTGCGTAGCTAAATGGCTCATATGTAAAAATGTATAATTAAAAACCCAAACATATACACTATATTTATTAGATTCCCCTATGTTTAAGATTGTGGAGAACAATTTAACTCTGAATACGAAACCTTAGTGAATTTGCTACTGTTCCATTAGAGGACAACTAATAATGAGACTGTATCAACGGAAGTAGAATCTAATGGCTAAAGCTACCTTATGCACAGCTAGTAAACTAAAAGAAATGATTTTAAACTATTCCCTTGAATTGTATTTAGATAAATAGATTTCTAAAGATGAATACAACACTCCTTTACAGGGAGTAGAGTTTTGTAAATATAAAGGCTATGCAAAATACAGTATAAACTGCCTGAACTAACAGTAGCAAAAACACAGTTTAATTTAAAAAGTCAAAAACATATAAAAATATTAGCCTTTCAGAAATGGCAAATTTTCAAACACCACTCTGTGTAAAAATGTTTAAATAGTGATGTTATTCCAAAAATATATATTTATTCTATTTTTCTATTTCCAACAGTTTATAAAGGCAAACAAACACCTGCGGTTGAGGTAGCAAAGCCAAATTCACAAACTTTGGATTAGGAAAAATACCCTTCCTGCTCTTAATAGCATCTTTCATACAATATTAAATGAGTTCCACTTCTTTCAAAATGTTTAATTTGCATGTAGTACTTTACAAAACTTAATTTAAAATACTGCAAATGTTTGTTAAAAAGATACTTAGTCCCGAAAATTATTTCACATTCAAAATACTATACAGAAAAATCTGAAGTCGCCATATATTACATAAAAGCTATGTATTTACAGTTTCAAACGCAGTTTTACAAGTTGAGGTTAAGCAAACCACTACTAATGGTCTTCATTAAACAGTGTCCACTATCAATCATCCCCCTCCCCATACAGCACTGAACAGAGAGGACCAGTTTTTACTTTCAAATCACATAGCTAGTAAATGATTTAATTTAAAGGGAAACAAATTCTATTCTCTTAATGCAATAAAACATAAATGTACTTTAAAATGTAACTGTTTTCATTTAAGAAAAACCAACTGGACAAAGGAATCACACTTTGAAAGGTAATCAAAAACCCCAAACATCAACAGTATTCAGTGCATTTGTAAGACAATTTTCTGTTTTCAGATTTTTAAGGATTGAAAATTTCCTATTAGGATGCAAATTCTAACATCTTTATTTATATTTTCCTTATGTTAATTGTTATGACTTAATAAAAATGAACACGGCTACATTAAAAGACTTACTACTTGGCTCTATAGTCCTGCCCCAAAAAGAAAGAGAAACACAAAGATCCTGTCAGTGCAACGTAAGGTTCATTTTGGGTTTTTTTTCCTTTTTTTTGCCAATGGAAGCCAAAACTGCAGGAGCGTTTAGACGGCGCCTAGACCAGAATCAGTAGATGTATGGGAATATGCGGTACGGGACGCGCTGGCAGTACCTCTCCCACGCCAGGCCGTACCTCTTCCTACAGTGGCGTTCATCGCGAGCCTCCCGGTGCACCAGCAAGATGGTGAAATAAATCACGTAGAAATAAGGAAGAATGTGATTGAAACCTGGGGACAGCAACAGTAAATAGCAGTAGGTATTTTTATTATCACTACACAACTACACAGTATGGTTTCCTGCTGGTCCCCAAATCGTCTAAAAATGGACCATCCCGTTACTTCATTTTCTCCAATGGGAGAAACAACTAAACCGGTTCAGAAAATCCCACTAGTGTGTGGCAGGAGGTAGTATTTGAATTAAAAGCTATTCAGAGAACAGTGATTAATCCACCCTAACAATCCTTCAAAATCAGAACCTCTGTATTTAAAGCAAATCTCCCCGTTTCCTCCCAGCCGGTGCTCAGGAAGAGGACGGCAGGCCACCCGTGAGGGGCAGGGTGGGCAGGGCAGACAGCACTGCAGGGTATGGGCTGACACTAACACAAACGAAACAGAGTGTGCCTTTTCTTCTTAAGAACCGAAGTTTTTCAGAATCTACGTACACTGAGTCACGAATAGAAAGTTAATTTCTACATATTCTTCTTAGAAAAAAAGCTACCAGGCACAGCTTAAAACTTAAAATTTTGCTTGCAGAAGTTTAGAGTAAAACTTCAGGCTCTGTGAATTCCTAATTCCCCTCAGACACTGGATGAGTGAGATGCTGGATACACAAGCGCAGCACCCAGATGGGGAACGGGCAACCCAAACCTCCAACAGGCGACACCCAGACCCAACGAGCACACACACACATCCTGTGGTGGCCGGAGAAAGAGTCAGATCAGTTCTCTTCTTCAATGCTTACCACATGGGAGGGACCATGCCAGGGCCATGATGAGATCACCCAAGTAATTGGGATGGCGAACAAAACCCCACCATCCAGAAACGAGAAGATTTTTTCCTGTTGAAGTATGAATGGTCTTTAAATCTATACAAAAATAAAAATACATTTTTAATGATCTCTAGACAGACAGACATAAAATCTTTATGTGGTATAAATACTATAAATATAAACCAATACTTACGTGCAAGCTTTGGATCAGTGGGATTTTTCCGGAATGCATTTTTCTGAGAATTTGCACATCGGAAGATTACAAATCCACACACTGTAATTTTTTAAAAATTTCATTTGTTAACAATTTAGCTTTAATCTTTATTTAAAAGCATCTGTAATTTCATTTAGAAATTATTCCTGTGCTCCAAGGAAAGTTGCAAAGTACAGAATAGTTTGATTTCTTAACCTCTCAATCTTAGAAGGTCAAAAGAAGATATGATCCTGATATCTCACTATCGTACAGCTTTCATCATCTACCTTGAAGACAAAACTAACAAATATAGTTACATCCATGAATAAAACCTAATGCAGCCCACATTACAATAAAATCAATACTGGAGTTCATCCGTTAGTTATGATACCTACTGGCCACAACATGAATGCTTTATTAATAAAACTATAGCTCAGAATCTGCACCAGAACAACCCGCACATAAATATATGCCGAGTCCCACTGTAAGCCTCCAAGTTGGTGGCTTTATTTCAAATTCCGAAATGTCAAAATTAAGAGGCCCTGACATATCACTATTTATTATCAGTCCTCAATAAAGTAGTAAGAAATAACTCTACTCCCTATTTTTAGCTTCACTGTAAAATATACATATCCTGTCTTGAATAACACACAGGCACGTTTAACCAAACCAATGAAGAAACTAAACCTTAATTTCAACCAATAGCTTGAATTTCTTCTTCTAACATAAACACTGATTAGTGTAGCAAAACTAGCAAGTATTTGAAGTCCAGTGCTAATTTTCCCTGCCCTCCCTCTGGCGGAGGTGTTTAACCAACAGTGAAAGGAAAGAAAAGCCAACCTGAAGCTAACGCACGAGCACCCGGCCAAAGTGTTCTCCTCGCTCTTCCCCAGCATCCACCCTGGCCAAGTGGTTCCCTCTGTCCGATGTTATCTACCTCCCCATCCCACTTTTCCCCACTGCACCATATCCTCCAATAGGTTTACACTGATGTTCCCCCAGAGAGACGCACTCTCTACCTTCAACTCCCATCATATTCGGTCTGTAAGTCCCTCCTCTAGACTCTTCCTACTACTCAATGCAGTGTCTGAGTGTCTTATTTCTCCCGCTAGAATGCAAGCTCTAGGAAGGCAAGACCAATCTCCCTACTTTTTAAGGTGCTACCAGAAAAGGCAGGCACTCAACAGAAAAAGTGAATCATTACTAAGACAATAAAATTTTAAATGAACTTATTATTTTAAACTAAATTTAATAAATTTTAAAACCAAAGTTTAAAATTATGTTTAAAGAACCACTGAGAACCCAAGAAAGAAACATCCATTCTCTTTGTAAGATGCAAGAATCTTTTTATTACTCAACTCATCCATCACAGATTACTTCAAACCTGAGCCAGTCATGGCCATTTAAAAGGGCAGGCTAATCACTAATCATTAGAGAAATGCAAATCAAAACTACAATGAGGTATCACCTCACACCAGTCAGAATGGCCATCATCAAAAAATCTACAAACAATAAATGCTGGAGAGGGTGTGGAGAAAAGGAAACCCTCTTGCACTGTTGGTGGGAATGTAAGTTGATACAGCCACTATGGAGAACAGTATGGAGGTAACTTAAAAAACTAAAAATAGAACTACCGTATGACCCAGCAATCCCACCACTGGGCATATACCCTGAGAAAACCATAATTCAAAAAGAGTCACGTACCACAATGTTCACTGCAGCTCTATTTACAATAGCCAGGACATGGAAGCAACCTAAGCATCCATCAACAGACGAATGGATAAAGAAGATGTGGCACATATACAAAATGGAATATTACTCAGCCATAAAAAGAAACGAAAATGAACTATTTGTAGTGAGGTGGATGGACCTAGAGTCTGTCATACAGAGTGAAGTAAGTCAGAAAGAGAAAAACAAATACCGTATGCTAACACATATGTATAATCTACAAAAAAAGATGGTTCTGATGAACCTAGGGGCAGGGCAGGAATAAAGACGCAGACAGAGAGAATGGACTCGAGGACACGGGGAGGGGGAAGGGTAAGCTGGGACAAAGTGAGAGAGTGGCATGGACATATATACACTACAAAATGTAAAACAGACAGCTGGTGGGAAGCAGCCGCATAGCACAGGGAGATCAGCTCGGTGCTTTGTGACCACCTAGAGGGGTGGGATAGGGAGGGTGGGAGGGAGATGCAAGAGGGAGGGCATGTGGGGATATATGTATAGGTATAGCTGATTCACTTTGTTATACAGCAGAAACTAACACAACATTGTAAAGCAATTATGCTCCAATAAAGATGTTAAAAAAAAAAGGTCCAGGAAAGACTAAAATTCAATCCTGATTTCCCAAAAGAGCTCAAGGATCAGAGAAAACAAGTAACCGGTACAAGAATACACAGCTAGTGTCAAAGCTAGCATCGAGCCCCATTCTCCAGATGGCTTCTGCTACCTAAGATGATATATTATTATGTCTGTGTCTTCTGTTCTTCCCTCCCATTAACCTTGTTTTTCTCAGTCACCTCATTCTGATAAGATCTGTAGTTGTGTCCTATTGCTAGATAGCTGTTCCCAGTGTGTAACAGCATTTTCTTGTACATAACCCTGCCATATTTGTCCCTTTTATAAACATGAACTTGGTTACTTAGTACTTAATTGGGTTGTTGGGACTAAGTGGTTATTTATCCATTTATTATAATAAAAAGAGCCATTCAGACTTGAAAAAAAATAAAAAATAAATAAAAGGGCACACTATAAACATGTAGATCCACAGCACAACAGACTCAGCACACACAATATTTAATACATAGAGACTGAAGTTAATACTCACGTTTCAGAGCAATGATTAGAGAAGCCATTGGCCAAGACAGTTCATTTGGATGACTGACTAAATAAAAGGCTTGGAAGCTGTAGATAAATGGAACCCACACTAAATCTCCAAAAGCCAGCATGAATCCAAATCCATCATGGATAATGTCCATGGTTGTCAACAGTGCTTCCTATAAGGGTATGGAGGGGGAAAATTTTTTTTAAACTTTGGGGGACAAAAGCTTCTATGTTTAAAGTATTCAAATAAAGTTCTAGTTTACAGTCAAATTTATAAAGGGCTAAGGGAAAGTACACCAACCAACACCGTTTTAAAGTGGGAGTGGGGATCTGGTTCCCTTGGCACGTGTATCATTCTGTTCTCCTGTCGCTCTACCCTCTCCCTCCACGATCCTGAAACAACAGAGCTGCCAACGCCCCTTGTGCCTCCATGCCTCTGCCTGGAACACCCCGTTCCAACTTCAGCTGAAGCCTCGCCCGTACTGCTTTCCTCAACCCTCCCCCTAGACAAGGCACTTCTCAGACGCCACCACCCACCACCTGCTGAAGCCTGGAGCGACCATGTGACTGTCCTGTAAATAAGCGACTCTCGCCACTAGACTAGAAGACGGAAGGCGGGGAGCACGGGTTTCCACCTGCCACCCCTGCACCCAGCACACATGCACCAACCTAACTTCCGACAGCAATCTGGCTTTTCATGTAGCTTTTCCACACTACCCGGCAACATGGGAAAATGCCTGCCTCGCTGCTCAGGGTAAATCAGGACCTGAACGCACTCTCTTGTGGATGTGGTCAGCGCAAGCCAGCAGCCAGATCCCCCTGGACCAGAACCTGCCGGCCCGGCTCTGGAAGTGGAGACGGCCCTGCCCAAGGGCATCTCCAATCTGCCTCTGACACCAGTACTCCCTGATGACTAGAAAAATTAGCAAGTCTAAGTAAGCTCTGCTGAAGAATCAAACCAACACGGACCTACTGTATAGCACAGGGAACATCACCTATATGCAAAAAGATCCTAAAAAAGAATGAATATATGTATAGCTGAATCACTCTGCGGCACACCTGAAACTAACACAACATTGTATATCAACTACACTCCAATAAAATTAAAATTTTAAAAAAATCAATATTCTAGGTTAAAGAAAAAGCGTGATAATCTCCAAAACGCATTTTTTTCCCAGAAAGCAAGCAAAAGGACCATGGAACAGAAAAATGGATGCAACAACTCCAGGCCCTTTGGTTCACCCTCTAGTGAAGAGCGCCTATTCTTACGCACACGGGAGCAGGTACAAGAGCAGACCAGTGATGACGACAGGGCACACAGGAGTGGGCAGTGAGTGAGGGACAAGGTATAAGCAGCTGGCGCCAGCAGGGGCAGAACCCTCAGCCCTACCCAGTTCCTGGGGCCTCAGGGGATTTGCCGGACAGCCAGCGGAGGCTCACAGGAAGGGTCATTTATATTTAAGCTCGTATTCTCCATTTTCTAAGGTGTGGCACATCAACACGTAGAAGAATTTCTATCACCCAATCTAATAAGAAAATTATTAAGCATCTACTAATTGCCCGAAAGTGTGCCAGATACTAAAGAAAATCGTAAAATCGAGTCCTTTCTTCAAGAAGCCTACTATAATCTGGCTGAGATACTGATAACATATTTTAAAAAATAACTTCCCAACTTTAATCCACTACCCCTGGTGAAAAACTGCCTTAACAGTTTTGCCTTTCAATACCAACATTTTCTGTTAATTAACAGAAATCAATGTTTGTTTAAATCTCTAGAAAATATGAATTTCTAAGTCACTTCAAAAGTGACTACCATGACACGACAGAAAACGAGAATGAAGAATTACTCACCACTGAAAAGCTTCCAGACAGGAAGTTAAAAAAAAAAATCTCTGAGCTGATAAAGCAACAGAGGAAATATCGTCTGACTTGTAAAATGTAACCTACCATCTTCTTAGGAGCCCTTTATTACATAATCAAAGAAAGACCTACAACTGGCAAGACTAAGTGCATTTACAAGAATTGGGTTTTTTTTTTTAAATTTCAAAAGCATGTTTAATTTTGAGTAGACTTGGAATTTTCAAAGGACTCTGTATCAGATGCTCCCACAATCTCTGCAGCTTCTAAGGCTGGGCCCAGGTCTGTGTTCAGTGGCAGGAGCTCAACAAGAATCCAAATGTGGCTACTTGCACTCGAGGTCTGTTCACCTCAAAGAGGTCCTAATCTCCTCCCAAAGAAAAGGAAGGTTATCGACTAATCAATATCAAGCTTTCAAAGTCACTTTGACTAAATATGACCAAATAAGAGAGCTTTTAAAAAACACCTTGAAGGAGATGGACCTTCTCTCAAAATGTCAACAGACTGCCAAGAAAATTTATTTTGTAACATTAGGACATAGGGCTGCCAATTTCGTTTTTCAAACTGAAAGAAAACTCAACTTGGAATTTGGAGATGATGACAAAGATAACAGTAAATGATAAAACAGTTGTAAAATAGACCCAAGGAAGAAATTATTTTCAAGAGGAATATAGTTAGGTGAGACCGAGATTAGCAGACATTTACCAGTCTTCAAGTAGCAGAAAAAACTGATGATGTACCAACGTATGAGAAAAGCCACGTGTTAGGAAATTAGCTTTATTTAAACTGGTTTCCTCAATGTATCATGATTTCTGGTTTTATATCCATCTAATTAGAGCTACTCTTTTATTCTGAAACACCAACAATAAAACATCTCCCCGTTCCCTGACAATCCAAAAAACACTATCTTAACTCGATGATAATCTGTGCATCCATTTTCATCTGAAAGAATCATTAAGAAATTAATGTTCATTAATTCATATAAATAAGGTTTTATTTATATGAATCGGTCACACCCACAAAGCCAAGATCCACAGATCTTAAATATTTAGCACCTGACAGAGCAGCTGATATACACGGAAGTTATCACCAAAGTTCTCGACACCTACCCTCTGTGAGTGCTCACTGTGTGTCAGCTCAATGCGTCACATGGATCCACAGCTCATTTAATCCTCACAAGCCTTGCAGGCAGGTTATATTCTCCTCACTTTGTGTGTAAGAAGCTGAGGCTCAGAGGGGTCAGGTCAATCACCCACACTCAACGCCATCTGACTCCAAAGCTCTTAAAATTAATTACCTCATTCCAGAGAGCATCCACCACATACAAGAGCTGGAAACTGTTGACCAAAATCATTGCTAAGGACGGAACGGTGCGATGCTGTAGCTTCATCTCAGCCAAAAGCATCACCAGGTTAATGACCACCTGAAATAAAAGGGGCAGGTATAGTTTCTACAGAGAGAAAGGTGGTAACTTCCCAGCTGAGAAAGCTGCAGACACCACCTTACCGAGAAGCCACCATCAATAAGACAAATCAACCTCAGGAGTCCCCTGATAAGATGCACTGAGATGGACACTTATTCCGTGGTGTTCTTGCCAAAGACGTATAACTCACTCCAATCATGAGAAAACACTGGACTAACCCAAACTGAAGGACACTCTTACAAAATAACTGACCAGTATCTTCAAAAGCGTCAAGGTCATGAGAGACAAAAAAGACGAGCAACTGTTACAGACTAGAGGAGACTAAGGCCAAATAACAAATAAATGCACTGTCGGACCCTGAAGAGGATTCTGGAACAGGAAAAGGCCAACAGCATGAAACATTGGTGAAACTCAAATAAGGTCTAGGGATTTAATTTAATACTACTGTAACAATGTTAATTTGTGGGTTTTTCTTCTTTTTAATTGCTGTTTTTGATAACTATACTATGGTTCTGCCAGATGTTAATTAACATTGGCGAGAGTGGTATGAAGGAACTCTTTATTTTTGCAACTCGAACAAGTCTAATATTAAGTCAAAATACATTTTTTTAAAGGGGAGGAAAATACATTCTTTCTTAATTCATACACTATTATTTTCCTACATAAACATAAACTGATATAATCAAAATAAAACAAACTCTTTTAATGTTTAATAACCTGTAACAGGGCATCTTATCCCTCTGGACTATATTTACAGCAAGAAAATATTTTAAGCAGACAGATTTATGCAATGCTGTGATTATTCCTAAAAACATACCACCCACAGCTTACTTTAACATTGTCTACAATCCTTTCCAAATGTAAGACTAATTTGTACTACTGAATTGAAATTTTTTAAAAAAGACATACCCATCCAATCAATCCGGGGCGCAATTCACAGAAGTATTTGAGATCAAAAGTACCAATCCGAGGATTTAACTCACGGCCAATGAAGAAATCATAGACAGCATTTCCTATGAAGGGAAAAGTCCTTATCCAAACAGTATTCCAAACCCAATTATGAGGCTTTAAAATTGCACTGCTGTCCACTGTCCAGGGTCACAATTCAATCACCTCCAGGAGCCTGGCAAACAGCCAGAGAGGAAAGGCATGGTGGTGAGAGCCAAGAGGGGCCATGAGGACACAGGGGGCAGGGGATGCTGGCCCCATCTGGAAACATCCATGCTGCTATAGGCATGGGGCCTATGGGGCCAGATTCCTAGATTTTGAGGGAACTAGAGCTTTTTTAAATGTAGACTCACCATTTTAAAAATAAGCCACTTAATTTTTTTTAATGTTTAAGTACTTTAGGTTAGAATCAACCAATCTGTAATCTCTATTATTTGTTGTTTGTTTTTTTTTAAAGGGTGTTTACTATTTTGGACAAAAAATATTTGTCCTAAATTGTTATAATACTAATGTTACTAAAATGCTGTAAGTTGTTAAAATGTCTTACTGTCATCAAGTGACTAAAAAAGGAAGAAGAAACAAATAGGAAAACACAAGGGGAAAAAAAAATCAGATTTTCTTCCTTTTATTTTTCTCTAAATTTTTTCACCTTTTCTTTTTTTTTCCTATTTCTCTTCATCTCTCATAAACTGAAGCTAGAAGAGAATTCTATGAAAGCCTAGAAACAGATGCTGAGGGGCCAGTGGGGTGAGGGTGTGGAGAGACATTTGTGGGAGGCGTTTGTGGGACCCACGTTCTAACACTGCTCACCAGAGCTGGCCGGCGACAGTTCATCCCGGGGCGCTTTCAAAGCCCTGGCGTAGAGATAAACACTCAAGACCACAGAAAAAACGGTGGCTGCAAGTGCACACTGAAGGAAATGACTGTACACATAATAAAGCTCTACATCCCAGAAGAAAGATGCTCCGACGAGTACAGATGTCAGGATAAAAGCGTAGAATCCTTAAAAAAAAAAGGGGGCGGGGGGAGGAGGGCAAAAAATGTTAACCCAGGGTTCACACTGGATTTACACCATTATAAAATAATACATTATTTTGTAAAATCTTAGTTTCATTATTCAAGCTACACACACACAAATATATGAACGAGCAGTGCCCCTGAGGTTAGCAGTCTTCAATACAGATGCTGTATCTCACACACAGTTTGTGAAATATTCTCACATACTTAAGTTATTATTTTTCATTGTGAACAGTCATCTGCTTTTAATGAAGAGAGAGCTGAAAAGAAGTGCACAGAAATTCACTATTAAAAAGCTGAAAAGAACCTCAAAATTCACATAATCCAAACCCCTGAGGCCAAAGTCAAATGGCTAATTACTGACAGAGCTGGGCCAAACACACAGTTTAAAGCCTTTAGGGCAATGTTGGTGGTTATAAATTATAAACATTTTTACCCGAAATAACTTATCAATAAGGGTTTCAAAGGATCCTGGTCGTACTCTACCTCCCAAACAAAGACCTCAAGACCCTGCCCTCAAAGAAGAGGCCACAACCCAAATGTTCCCCAGGGCCAGGCAGGAGACTGAGGGGACCAGCCGAGTGGGGACGTCAGGGAGGGACTGCCAGGCCCATAGATGTTCATTCCAAAGTCAAAAGCACCCACGAGGCCCCACAGGAGGAACTCCTGTTCCGAGCTAGCCCTGCTATGGCTCAACAGACAGAAGCTGAGTGTACCGGCTGCTTTTTCTTTGGACCCAAGAAACAGTTTTCCTTTCAGGAGCTGAGTGCCTACAAAAACTGTTCTCTGAGTAAGCAGTCAAATCACATTTGGATAAAAACAGTCTAACACAGAAAAGACGTAGGTGTTATTTCTGTAAGAATTCTAAAACCAAAGCTTTTGTAAAGTCAAATGGTCATCTCTAATTTATTATAAGTCCACATTTTCCACAGTGTCAGGCTTACTCCAAAGAGTAACTTCTAACTTTTTAAACTTTTTCTTTAACTTTGTAAAGCATTCATTTAATGCTCATAAAATTTATGAATATTAAAGAAAAAGAATGGTAGATGAAGCAGTTTCTTGCTCTCTAGCCTACATGGATTAAATCATTCAAAATGCCTTAGGACTCTCCTTAGTTGATGATGGTAAAATCTGGTAATACTAGAACCAGAGTAACAGGAAATTTTCAAAGGAAGGATCAAGCAACTAGTTCAGCCACTGCCTGCTTGCTCCGACAGCTCTGAGCCCAGTACTACTGTTCTCAGCCTCCGAGGGAGCCACGCCCTCAAAGGGAAGCAAAAACAGAAAAGAAGAGCACTTAGACGAGAAGTAAGTGGGTACCTAGAGAGAAGCCCGCAAAACACGAACAGCGACAGACCTGATGGCCCAAAGGGAACACCTCACCCCTCCCCAGACTTGGCCTCACTGAGGCTGCAAGGCGCAGGAGAGAGGGTGTGTTGGAGATGCTAAACCTGGTTCCAGCAGCAAGGAATCTGATAAAAGTAAACAAAGTATCTGACAGTAGCAGCAAGTCAGTGCAAAGCATCTACCAGGGGTCAGGCGCGGCGCTAGGTTCAACGCCCTACCCACTTGGCACAAGAGGCAGTCATCTAAAATACCTCTGGCTTCCCTTTTAGAGCCCAGTCGAGTGATTTCAGATACAGTGGATGCTAGATGAGTCACTGAAAAAAGTATCCACAGTTCGAAAGGTGAGAAGTGATAGGATTAAAACAGGCCAAGAATTAAAATTTACAATATAATTCCCAAGAAAAGGAAAACAGTCTACCCAATCTAGTTAAAATGGAAAATCATTTAAGGATAACTACACTATACACGTATTTCTTAAAAGCAGGTTAACTGTACTTTATCAAAGTCTTCACGTGCCAAAGGTGGACTGTTCCTCTTACTCAGCACACACTCCTACCCCAGGAGGTGCCCATGTCAGGAGGGACAATGCCCACTTCTTGAGACGCTCATCGAGACTTCCACTCCATCCACTCAGGGCTCCTACCAACAAGCGCCTCCTACAGGCCAGTCCCTTTGCTGGCACCACAAAGGGTACCACAATGAACACAGCCAAGTCCCTGCCCACAAGCCACCTTCTACTGGGGAGACCCCAGTGAAAAGACAAGTACACTGATGTCAGGAAGACCTGTCATAGAGGAAAATAAAGCAGGGTAATGGAAAGAAAGGGATCTGAGGCCTCCTCTGAGCAGAGACACGTCAGGGATGAAGCAGCCGACACTTTGGGGGAAAGTTTTCCAGGCAAAAGCACTGAGAACGTAGCCTAGAGACGGCCCGGAGGCCAGTGGCTGGAGCAAAAGAGCAAGAGCTCTGGAGGGCAGGAGTGGCCAGGAAGCCCACATCAGTGCAGAACTTAGGCCATGGGGATGACTCAGGATGATAAGATACGTAGTCAAAATTCCTTCAATGAGCGATAAATGCTATTAAGAAAATAAAACTGGAGAGTGGAAAACAGTGACTGAGTGGCTTGTTACTTAACATGGCATAATTTTGACATATCGGCTGCAGGTGCGAGCAGTTTACTTGCATGCTCTTCTGACTACTGAGAGAAATTTACCATTTCCTGCTCTGGCATAATCAGCTTTGACAGTTTAAAGAGTACAGCACCCAAAAGTTTGAGCTATCATCAATTTGAGTCTTGAAAAAAAAAAAAAAAGAAAAATCACCATTTAATCTGTACTTGAGTCTTCTTCCATCAGTAAGAGGTGTTCCTTCTACAACCTTAAAAGAAAAGTTTTTTTTTAATTTAAAATTTAAAAAGTACAACACTTTACCATGATACACATGTCTTGTAAAATCACCTAAATTTCAACATGCCCAAGAAGGAGGATCATCTTTTAGTAGGAAACTTTAGTAACAAGTCTCAAAAATCTTCATGGCACGCCCTTAGGTAAAGTAATTCCACCTTCAGGAATTTATCTCAAATACAAATCTAGTAATGACTTCTCCGTGTACTGAGACTATTGCAAGAGCCACTCTCCCCCAATGATCCCATGTCCCACCACAAGACTAGCTGTGTTTTCAAAAACCTGTACATCTAGTCGATCTCTAGCTCGAAACTCTTCAATGACTCCCCGCTGCTTACAAAGCAGAATACAACTCCACTATCTCACGTTGGTGTCATCCTTTCAATCGGGTTCAACCCCACTTACCCAATCCCAAGGCCCATGTGCTATTTGATGATACAGGCTCATATACTTACTTGCTCTGCTATTTATACATATACGCTCACTTAGTTATTCAATCCTTTCACGTGATTCTTTTATCTCCAATAAGAGCCCGAGAGCATGTCCACTGGGCCATTTCAGCTCCTCATTGGGATCACCCACAGCATCCCCGTGAAAAAGGTCCTCAAGAAACACACTACTTCAACAGGACAAGTTAAGACAAGTCCACTTGCCCGACGGCAGCTACATTTTACTCCCCAAAGTAACTATTCAGAAACAGTGCAATTCATTATGAATTGTAAAATACTAATATGCTATCACTTGTCTTGGGCCAAACTACTTTACCCTTTCATTAGCTATGAAAGGGAACCCAGGAGAAATGCAGTATCTGTCTGAGATTATAGGATTAGCAAAACCCCACAGGCTAATTTCAAATGATCTTTATCTATTAAAGGTATCTAACAACTACTGCGTTGGGTTTTAGTCTGTGGGAAAAAGAATAGATATATAGCTATCTACGTATATAGATATAGATACAGACATATATATATATATATATATATATATATATATATATTTTAACCATCAAAACTGCTTTTCTCAATAAATATTACCTAGTTTGAACTAGCTTTACCTGAGTTTATCTGAATTTGTGATTCTGTACCTTAGAGCCTTATCACAAAAATACCTGAAGGTTCACATCACAAGAATCCTCTCTAGAGCCAATGTTATGGTGAGGTTCCAAAGTATTTCAAGTCTGCAGCTCTATCCTCCTATCACTGGCATTTGCCACTCCTAATAAAACTGATCTTTTGGTTTACAGACAGTTGGCAAACTTGCAAAGCTCTAAGAACAAGATCTTTAAATGAATTATTTATTGATTAGGGAATCTCATGTTCTTTTAAATATATCCAAGTAGAGTATTCCAATGAAAGAAGAAAAAACTACACTTAGCAATGAGGACAAGTTTTAAAGACACTGCATGAGTCTGAAAAGAACATTCAATGGTCCAGACAACAAATTTCTGAAAGAGATGAAAATCAGAAACTCATCATATTAAAAAAAAAAAAAAAAGTAAAAGATACGGACTAAATTCCATTGAGCTCAGTAGCTTATCAACTGGTAATTTAAAATTCTGCATCTGAAATGACATATAGTGAGAGGCAATTTTTTTCTTCCCAGCCACCTCTACCATTAGTCAGGCTATTTTGAAAAATGGCTTATTCTTCTCTATTTGGTTTGGAGAGATGCACAAGAACCCTCAATCAGATTCTTTAAGTTTCGCTTAATAAGTATGTGTTACAGAATATAAGAGTAAACGCTTAACAAACTAAAACTAAAACTAAGTAAGTTTGGGTAGTTATGACCAAGGACAGCTTTTAACCTTAAAACTACTATAAATGTCTTTATATAAACATGGGAGCGAGGGGAAGAAAATCTCATAATACCATACGCCCCACCAACAAACCCTTACCTTCCCAATTGGCAGTAAGTAGAACAGAGCCTGAAGGAAAAACCAGAGGAGGTAGGCCCCAAATACCCTGGTTTCCCATAAATCATACAAAGCTGGCAGAGGCGGCGGGAAATTCAGAAGACTGGGCTCTTCCTGTTTACACATCAACAGCAACAGGAAGAGGAAAGCAGGCAGGCCAAGCGTGATGAGAAAAACACCTGCAAATAATTAGTGAACATTCAAGGCTCTAATTTCAATCCAGGTTATTTTATTTTATTTTTTTCAAAAATCACTTGAATCTCTAAGGTCGAAACTCAAGTCTGGCTAGCTGTTTGAAACCAACTTTTAATGCATCATTAGAAAGTCTTAACTCTACCTGTCACATCCTGTGGGAAAGCAACCACAGGCATGAAGGTAGTAAAACAGCAAATGCCCAGCACTGAAGAGCTAAATTCCACCTCGGAAACCAAGCTCTAAAACATATAAAACCCAATCACTATGGGAGCAAACATGTTGAAACTCCAGCAAACTGAAGACTGGAACATCTAAAAACTATCGGTCTGATCTTTAAAGAACAAAAAACTTTATACCCCTAAGTTTCTAACAATTAAAATAGTATCACATTCACGTTACATGTGCGCAGACTTTTAAGCGATGCTGGACACCACCTTTAACAGATTCAGTTAGCCAAGAGTTATAAATTACAAAATACAAAGCAGTTAAGCCATGCAGGATTTTGAACCATTTAACCAAGAAGTACTTTCTTTTACTAAGTCATAAGACCTCACCAGCTCCACCCACTTAATAACTCCAAGCCTCTGAATGCTTCAGATCTTTGACCCTCAAAAGCAACCTAACAGGTAGTGTAGACACCATGAACCCACTGGATGCACGCAGCTTATTCCCAGTGCTACTGCCAAGCCAGGCCCTGTCACTGAGATCTGATTATTAGCAGATTTCCCAGTCACGAATAGCTCACCGTCCTTCCTATATACAACAGTCATACCAACCTTCCTTTCATCGCTTCTTTGCACTTCTTTGCTCAAAACCTATTAAAAGATTGCTAAAGGGCTTCCCTGGTGGTGCAGTGGTTGAGAGTCCACCTGCCGATGCAGGGTACACGGGTTCGTGCCCCGGTCCGGGAAGATCCCACATGCCGCGGAGCGGCTGGGCCCGTGAGCCATGGCCGCTGAGCCTGTGCGTCCAGAGCCTGTGCTCCGCAACGGGAGAGGGCACAGCAGTGAGAGGCC